ATGGCATTATGTGACACAGAAAGACTGTGTGACAGTGAATGACTGTGTGACAGTGTATGGCTTTGTGTGACAGAGAATGAGTGTGTGACAGTGAATGAGTGTGTGACAGTGAATGACTGTGTGACAGTGTATGGCTTTGTGTGACAGTGTATGGCATTATGTGACAGAGAATGAGTGTGTGACAGTGAATGAGTGTGTGACAGTGTATGGCTTTGTGTGACAGTGAATGACTGTGTGACAGTGAATGACTGTGTGACAGTGTATGGCATTATGTGACAGTGTATGGCTTTGTGTGACAGTGTATGGCATTATGTGACACAGAAAGACTGTGTGACAGTGAATGAGTGTGTGACAGTGAATGACTGTGTGACAGTGTACGGCTTTGTGTGACAGTGTATGGCATTATGTGACAGAGAAGACTGTGTGACAGTGAATGAGTGTGTGACAGTGAATGGGGGGTGTGACAGTGAATGACTGTGTGACATTGTATGGCTTTGTGTGACAGTGTATGGCATTATGTGACAGAGAATGACTGTGTGACAGTGAATGCGTAGCTGTGTATGTTTGGTTATAGTGTTTGACAATGTGCACAACAAGACAATACATAATGCAGCTGTGTGATGGCGTATGGAAGTGTTTGTGATATTGTATTACATTGTGAAATTCGGTGAAAGTGTATGGCATTGTTTGAGATGGCGTATGGCAGTGTTTGTGATATTGTATTACATTGTGTAATTCCCTGAAAGCGTCTGGCATTGTGTGTGATGGCGTTTTACATTGGGTACTACACATGACATTGTATGATGTGTTAATATGGGTTACTGTAAATGTGTATGTATGCCACTAGGTGCGCCATTAAAGGTATTTGTGTGCATGTATTCAGGTCTTTCTCATTTTCAGTACAGGTCATGCTGTGTATTCTGGTATAGGTCAGTGAGCGCAAATAAATATGTAAGTCATAGATCAGCGTTTGCGATAGTATCTCATTGCGTTGTGTCTTCTTAAAAGGCATTGTGTGTTGGAATACATCATTGTGCGTTGGAATAGTTTATTGTGTGATGGAATAAGTGTGTGTTAACATACGCCATTGTGTGTTGGAATACGTCATTGTGTTTTGGAAAACGCCGTTGTGATGCCACAAGTCACTGTGTGTTGGAATACGCCGTTGTGATGCCACAAGTCACTGTGTGTTGGAATACGCCATTATGTGTTAGAATACGTTATTGTGCGTTAGCATACGTCATTGTGTGTTGGAATACGTCACTGTGTTTTTGATTTAGTCATTGTGTGTTGGAATACGTCTTTGAGTGTTGGAATACGTCACTGTGTGTCGGAATTCGTCATTGTGTGTCGGAATACGTCATTGTGTGTTGGATTAAGTCACTGTGTGTTGGAATTTAGTCTTTGTATGTTGGAATACGTCATGTGTTGACATAGGTCATTGTGTGCTGGAATATGCCATTGTGTTAGCACAGATGGATAAGGACCAGGCAAGTGTTTGTTGGTATACATCATCGTTTGTTGCTATAGATTGATGTATGTTGTATAGGTCATTATGTTTTGATATAGATTACTGTGGAGTATAGGTCATCGTGTGTGGTGTACGTCATCATTTGTGACGTACGTCATTGTGTATGGTGTACGTCATTGTGTGTGGTGTACGTCATTGTGTTTTGTGTACGTCATCGTATATGGTGTACATCATTGTGTATGGTGTACGTCATCGTGTGCGGTGTACGTCATTGTACGTCATAATGACTGACACTGGGTCTTTCATTGGAGTGTCTTCCAGCAATAACACGACGCTTGACACCATCATGGGCTTCACATATTCTTCTGTGGGGAAGCGAACCCTGGCCTTCGGCGTGACAAGCGAACACTGTAACCACAAGGCTACCCCAACACCCCACTGCATTTGGGGTGCGTTATACAGTAAACACAAGTGTGTGGCAGTGTGTGCTATAGTGTATGGCAGGGCGTGCAATAGTGTGTGCCAGTGTGTGCAATAGTGTATGGCAGGGCGTGCAATAGTGTGTGCCAGTGTGTGCAATAGTGTGTGCCAGTGTGTGCAATAGTGTGTGACATTGCGTGCAATAGTGTGTGGCAGTGCGAGCAATAGTGTGTGGCTGTGCGTGCAATAGTGTGTGGCTGTGCGTGCAATAGTGTGTGGCAGTGCGTGCTATAGTGTGTGGCTGTGCGTGCAATAGTGTGTGACTGTGTGTGCAATAGTGTGTGGCAGTGCGTGCAATAGTGTGTGGCTGTGCGTGCAATAGTGTGTGGCTGTGCGTGCAATAGTGTGTGGCAGTGCGTGCTATAGTGTGTGGCTGTGCGTGCAATAGTGTGTGGCTGTGCGTGCAATAGTGTGTGGCTGTGCGTGCAATAGTGTGTGGCAGTGCGTGCTATAGTGTGTGGCTGTGCGTGCAATAGTGTGTGGCTGTGCGTGCAATAGTGTGTGGCTGTGCGTGCAATAGTGTGTGGCAGTGCGTGCTATAGTGTGTGGCTGTGCGTGCAATAGTGTGTGACTGTGTGTGCAATAGTGTGTGGCAGTGCGTGCAATAGTGTGTGGCTGTGTGTGGCTGTGTGCGGCAGTGTTTGCAATAGTGTGTGGCACTGTGTGCAATAGTGTGTGGCAGTGTGTGCAATAGAATGTGGCTATATGTGCAATAGTGTGTGCACAAGTATGTGGCGTTGTGTACACTTGTGTGTTGAGATGTGTAAGGCCGTGCTACAGTGTGATATACAAGGTTTCCTCACACACACACACACACACACACACACACACGCACGCACGCACGCACGCACGCACGCACGCACGCACGCACGCACGCACGCACGCACAAAAAGGCGGGCACATACGACACCCACTAAACGCCCGCGACTGAATGACTCGCAACACTTGTTAATTGCCAACTCGCCACGTCAACACCCATGCACCTGTATATGAACACGCAAAGCTAAACTACAAGCACCTTCACGTAATACTCATGATCACAGTCCGTTGATTTCCTGTCGCACATTATTATCATGATTTGAATGATTTCGGAAAACACTGGTGGAGTTGGCAGATATTGATCACATGACACGAGGATATTCCTGTCGACAATATTAAATTGGCTAAAATAATGGTCCCAGATCGTTTAGTGGCACTGACAGGATGGATACAGAACCCATGACACGATTGAGGCGTATGTACAGCAGCGCTTGGTTGATGACGGCGTTATGGCCCTGTCACACTACAACGTTTTAGAGTAACTTGCACCTAGCGTGTAAAAGACAGTTAGTGTGCTGTCATACGTCGAGCTTTCATCGAAAAAAACATGATTTGGGTGTATTCATAGCGTATAGATAACGAGTTCATCGTATATGTAACGCATGTCTAAAGAAATAGTAGCGTATCACTGACTTATACATATGACTAGCGCGCTCAGCGTAGGGGAAAGGTGCCAACACGGGCCCTGCGGTAGTATACGAGTAACTGGTAGTGTACACCCATTCATCAAATTACCACCAAAAGCGAAAGCAGTCTAGATATGTAAAAAGTTTATACGTTCCCATACGCCGAAAATGTTGTGCATACACAAAAATGTTTTTAAGCCTCGGCGTACTACCTACAACATATACCGGCGTGCTTTTAACGTATACAACTTACACCTAACTTATCCATAGCGTATTTCAGCGTTGTCGGCGTTTTGGCAAAAGTCTCATACGTCGCCATACGTTACTGCAGAGACCATGGTTACTGCTATTCGTTGTAGTGTGACCAGGCCATTACGATCTACACCGAAACGTTTCTACAATTGCAATATAGAAGTTGGTGATTCATACCATCTGGTTATGTCTAAATACTGAACATTATGAACACTTTTTTTAATCAGAATTCAGTTAGAACAAATAATGGGTGACCTTTTGTCACATCAGTTCGACATGGTGAATATACTGTTTCATCGAGGGTCATATAGCATAACGTTAACTCGCAATCAGATATAACTGTGTCGTCGAACAATGCATTCTCTCTCTCTATTCTCAGCCAGAATATGTTCCAATTTAAAATGACAGAGAAATCGGATACCCTATAATACGACCAGGTATACGACACACAAACTAACCCTTTTATTGAATGCACACCCTTCCCCCATCCCCGACCAACCCCTCCCCATCGACAAATTCTAACCATATGCCCTGTCTGTTATTGTTCATGTCCCAGGCCGAAACTCGAACAAAAAGACACGAAGAATTCTCAAAGAGAATGTCATTTACGAATAAATGAAATTTTATACAAATTATAAAAGAATGTTAGATTTAAATAGTTTATTCGTGAGTATCATAAATGGCAAAATGACAAATGATAAAAATAAATAGCAATAAAATAATACAAACTGATAGGAAATTATTATGGGTTGTGTGTAGAACATATGCATATTGGTAACGTCTGAGATATGAATATTTCATAACATACATTGAGGTGACAAGCACTCGGTAATAATGGTCGCTTTGGGTACAAGAAATAAATAATAATGTTGGACAATGTTTTGAGTAAACACAACACAATACATGCGGACTCACATGGACGTATCCATAGCTCTATATACAAAACAATTATACATGAGATCGCGGGAGACAGAGTTCAAACGTTGTTGGGTTGATAGTTTCTAAGCGTAGACAACACATTAAGCATGTACACACACACATATATCACATTTCATTCTAAGAACTCCGAAATACCAGAGCTTCCAGGACATTTACAACCGGGAAATCGTGAAAGACGAAAATACTAAAAAACCCTATCGTTTACTCGACCTTTCTATGTCGAAGTAGCACCCGGTCAAAATATCCCTCTGAGAGACCATTAATACTTGTAATGTACTACATTTTGGGAATATTTTCGACTAGTAATGTCTTATTGTCCATGGGTAAACCCACCGGGATGTTTTAATGTTAGAAGCACTGGTACGCTCGGTAGTGAAATGTGTTGCTACCGGGTATTTGGATGGAAAGCTCACCTGGCAAAGTGTCCCTGATCTTGGACATCTTCCAGCCCTCATTCATAGTACTAAACTGACTCTCTCCCAGTAGACTGTCTGCCCCGTCTACACCATGTTCCGCCATGAAATGATGGCGATAGTCAACAATGTCTTGACACGTGAACTCGCACATTGAACAACGAAACACTGCCTCATCTCCATCACCCGGTTCCTGCTTAAACACTGTCCTGTTGTCACAAGATGCGTCGTCCGATTTTGGAGAGTTGTCCCCCTTATCGGAAGTGTCACTTTGAGGGCGAGTGTCATTTCGAGAAGCAAGAGCCTCGCTCACCTGACGATGTTTCCCAGTGTAGTTGAACGGGGTGAAACAGTTTTGGAATAATTTGGATCCATAGTGAACGAGATTGTCATAAGGGTCAATGGGTCCTTTCTCCCTCGAAACGTTTTCATCATTTGAACACACTGGGGACTGAAACAAAGGATTGGGTTGTCCAAACCACCCATACATCGGTCCAAAGCTAGCACCAAAAGCACTCGCGAATAATCTATTCCTGAAAGAATTTTGAAAATACGGCGTCGTATGTTCTGCTGGAACAAGAGGGTGAGCGTTAACCAATGTTTTTTCTACGTTTGCATGGCCAGACAAAGCTTTCTTCATCAGTCGGCTGTGAAAGTCATCCCTAAGGACCGGTGAGGACTCGGCATGTTTTTGCTTCTTTGCGTCTGGTTGGTCAGAATCGGAACTAGATTCACAATTCTTCTCCCTGTCTGCACATTCATCGGAATCGGAATCAGACCAGCTGTTCCCTGATCCAATCTGATTACGGAGACACACGGGAGCTGGTCTCTTCCTCTTGTTTCTTGGTGTGGAATTGGGGTCTTTCTCTGTTGGGGAATGTTCTCCGCTGCCGGGATTCATAAAACTAGGTGAACCAGTTCTGGTTGTCCTCTCAAACTGCGAATCTTGATGATTGTTTTCATGAGTGGAATCATTCTCCCATCGCTTCTGGAACACAAAGTTAGAGCCGGACTCCCTCTTCTCGTCAGTTCTGTGACTCGACAAGAGGCCCTGTAGGAATGGCATGTCAGACATGCCTTGCCCCATGTGTACTCCATTGCCTGGCATAGGCACGCCATCTGACCTTTTCATGTCCATAGTACCGCCATTCTGGCTATCACAAGGAGTGTCTGTTCTAAACGCTTCGACCTCTGGCTTGTTGACGAATGTCAGCAGCCCTGTGGGAGATCTACAATTACTTGGTGATCCACCAGCTAGACCAGGGGAGGTAGACGCGGGCACATTAGATGAACCCCCTCTCTTGCGATGTGGATTATTCTGATCTGCTATTCGGACCTTGTTGTTGTGATGAGGACCATTGCAGTGAGCTTGAAATGCAGCTTTGACTTGACATTTCCAATTACAAACCTGACAGAAATACACAATGTTCCCACCTTCTCTCACAAGCTTTGTATATCGTCCAAACTCGGGAGTAAAACTGGACATTGAAGACCAAGATTGCAACAAATTGGCTTGACTTCCCGGCGTTTGAGCTTGAACGATCTGGTCTGTGAGTTTCTGGATTTTGGAAATGTTTTCACTTTTTGGAAGGTCATTCACCTTAACCACGGGAGCTGTCTGTTTCACAAGCTGATACTTGTTGCAAGGAAAGTCTTTCTTGCTTTGGTTCGGGGACTCCAGTCTGGGTTTGTTGCCGGAGTTTGCAACATACAACGGCGGCTTGGGGGTTGACAGACGCTCCTCCATGCCTGAAGACGGCGTTGCAGCCTCGTCCACAGACTCCGTGTCGGAGAGTTTGTCTGCCTCTACCCTCTCCCCACAGAGCTTAGCGTGAGCGCAATCAATGTGAGACCGTAGATCTTCATCAGTACCGAATTTCAAGTCACACTGGCTACAATCTTGAAAGCTTGCCTGTTTCGTCAGATGTTGACTGGTGACATGAGCGAGGAAACTGCCTTTTGAAGTCAATATTGAAGGCAAGCTAGTACACAGGGTACACTTGTACAGAATCTCGGCAAACCGCATGAGATTTTCCTCACAACTCCTAAAGTCGTTTCCGAGTATACTCTCGTCAGGAAACAGATCTGATGTTTTTGATTCACCGCTACTATCAGATTCCTCAGCCCCGGACCTCATGGGCGTCGTCTTCCACGATAGTTCCTGGCTAGAGCTCGGGGAGCGCTGTTCGTGGTTCGCTTGAGTATTGGCGCCAGAGTAAGCCACGTCCGTCGGGCTGGAGTTGCAGACTGTCTGGCACATGCCGGCCATCGCGTCTGACATCATCTCAATAATGTGAAGATTCCACTAAATATCCCACATAGCACCGAACACCTTTAATAGATTTCAGGCAACGGTTTAGTCTCGCCTGGTGACAGTCAGTCTGCGAATTGAAAGAAAAATAATATTAAGAGCTGATGTAGTTATACAAGTGTATTCATTGTTTTCATAACAAAAATATCATGTTGTGCGGTATAAATGAGGTTATATAAAACATATCCTGCAAAGACGAATCTATGTGTTTCGTTGCGTCTTGGTAATATTGGAGGAGTAATGTAGTTATTATTCTTTACGTCGACGTTATAAGCAGCGAGCAGTGGGGTCAATGTGAGTTACATTCATACACATTCATTGTATGGAGATCAGCTCAAACAGGGCAGTGGTGGAAACCAAGGGAATGGGTTAAGTCCCTTTGTTGGTGTGTCCTCTTTTACATACATTTAATGGCACCTGCAGTATGAGCCTAAGAGGCTACACTGACCCGGGGCACCTGTTTTGATCAATACCATAAGCGTAACCATGGGACACTTGCTTTGTTTACAGATATATTAGCAAATATATATAACTGTCAATCAGATCATCCAGTGTTTGGTTGAATGCTTGAAACGTATCAACCAGTATTGGATGAAAAACACGAAACCTGTCAACCAGTATTGGGTTTAATACTCGAAACTTATATTATAACTTATATCAACGAATATTGGGTCAGATATACGAAACTAATATTATAACTAATATCAACGAATATCGGGTTATATACACGAAACTAATATTATAACTTATATCAACGAATATCGGGTTATATACACGAAACTAATATTATAACTTATATCAACGAATATTGGGTTAGACACACGAAACTTATATTATAACTTATATCAACGAATATTGGGTTAGACACACGAAACCAACAACCTATTTACGATACCAAATATAACTATTGAATGAATTCGGTGAACATAAAAATAAATCACAGATCCAATTTTCTGAGAATGCTGTCCTCTCCTTTGATATGCCCCCACGCTGTGGGTGTGTATTATCCCCCGCTGTAAGCGTCTGTCCCGTACCCCCATTTGTTGACCCGCTACCCTGCTGGCGATTGTCCCTAGGGGTTTTCTTTGTTATCCGAAGCAGGTGTCTCGAGCGTGCGGAAGTAACTCCGAGTAGAAATAGACATTTGATAGACAGGCCTTGAGCTTTTGTCAGAGGAGCTGCTGAGAACAAATCAGAACTGCATGTCTAATGTGATGCTCCATGCGACCAACATATGTACAATATGTATACCTATATTGATATATGTCATCCCATACTTAATTTAAGAACCAGTCTAATTGCATTGAATTAGATCTCTCGGATGTACATTTGTCAAATTTATGTTTAAATATTTTTCATTTTTGATAAATGAAGATAACAAAACATATACACAACCTATCAACAGGAATCAATCTGTTAAATATCCGGGGTGAATTAACGTGGTTTCTTGTTAGCAGAAATATATATTTCATCTTTCATTACAATACAGATCGATATATCTACAACACCACGATGTTTCCGTAGATGTTGTTTTCTTCAAGCTGATTACATGTTTCCACAATATACTCACGAAACTGACAAATCGCAAATATTATCTCAACTCTTTCCGCATACAAACATACAATTCGCTTCGACAGCACACTTGTCGATCAAGTAAATGAAATTCAATCCGGGAAAACTGATGAATATAAATAAATTCCAGTTGCTTTTTCAGTTAAAGTGGTAAAAAAGTAGGAAGCGAACAAGCGTGGTAAAACCGATAAAATGTTGGCGCTCGTTGCATCGATCAATTTGCAACAGTGATGCAACACGAGTGCAGATTGTTTGAATGCAACAAGTCAGCTCAAATATACGGTAACGCTCACTTTATGAGTCCAATATATCAATCGTCAAGTGAATACACCATCGCGATTGACGTGAATTATGAATGAATGTAAGTACACAATATATATCTGAGTTATTATTTCACTATTAATCCATTTCAACATATATCAATACATGTTTGAAAGGAATTCAATAAAGATGTCATATATCAATGCAAGACATAAGAGAACGTTGTCTTGCTGAACAGACAGCAACCTGGTGATTGAGATAAGATGAAGCGAAAGATCTGAGATTTTCTTCGCGGTTGTACTTACCAGTATATGAATATCCTCTGGTGAAGTGACACAAGTGTATATCCTAGAGTATCTCCTGTAGTGACTGGGGCGATATGGAGTTGGTAGCGACACTGAATATATATAGATCGCTGCACAGCACACTGTCGCTGGCAACTTGTTTAGATGTGATCCAAGTCCCGTCTGAATGAAATTTTATTCCTTTCTCCAGACCCTTGTCAACTATTGCCGACCTCGAAGCGTTTATCTGATATGCTTCAAGCCGAAAATCGAAGTGAGTTGGGCTCGACTCTGCATGCGGCGCCATTCGGGTTAGATAAATAGGCGAGCGCTGCTCGTGGTCGCCGGCGCGCCAGACAGCCAGACGGCCGATTCGGCGCCAAGTTTTCTGACAATCAGCGAGCCAGACACTCAAACGAGCTGTCAGATGCGGCCTGTGTCTCGCGCCTGTTATTGTGAGAGGGAAATGAATGACTTCAAGCGACATACAGACGACGGTTAAATCCCAGACCGGTTTTATTAAAAAAAGATGTTTAGATAAGCGAAGTTATCCTTCTCTAGGAACACATGTAATGTTAGTGGTTGCGGCGATGTTGGTAGATGCATATCGGCCATGGCTTGCCTTTGTTCCATTGTGTCCGAGATAGGGCCAGAAAGGCAGGCTTGAAAAGATAATAGTACCGCGTGTAGATGATAGAACTTGATTAACGGTTAGGTGATCAATAGGTGACTTTTTGTCTGAAGTGATCGCCGTTCTGGTGTCACTTTCAACTGTCCCTGTTTTCATTAGCGGTACATACAAATAATGAGTTTTGCCTTCACGTAATTTTGCTCTATAGCAGAACATTATGATTTCAGCGTCTTTCTATGACTGTTTGACTTTACATAAATGTTTGACATGCAATAACATTATATCCAATAAAACGAGCAATCTTTTAAAACTTGCAATTGGACAAACATTGTTTAAGTTTACAAAACTATTGAACACCAAACATATATCCGTCATCGAGACACTATAGTTCATCGTATTCCTGAATACTCATTTTTGTTGAAGATAGATCCATAGTGTTCATAGATTTGTCATCTTTCAGTGTCATATGTTTGATAAATAATTGTGAATTAATTGTATTGCTCATGTGACACCACCGGTGAAAAAAGGGTGTATAAATGTCGCTGTTGCTATCGCGTATGTGTTCGTCAGAGTAATATACGATGATATCATCATATTTTTCTATTCCGTCTTAATTGATAATGGCGGTTTTCATATTTAAATTAGAAATTAAAATTTTAGTTAAAACTTCGTTTATTATTTTATTTGATTACGAAGGGGAAATTTACTTTAGTGGGTTCTTTTAATGTTTGTCAAATGTGTTGCTATCATTCGTTGTTGTTACTGTTAATCTGATTGTTTGTTCTCTTTCAAGCTTGCACAAGTCGCCGTAACAGTCAGGCTCCCTCAAGTTCATTCCTTCGGGTTAATTGTTAAATGATCCTTCACAGTATACTAATTATTACTTAAACGCATGGCTAGACAAAGCTGTTGTGATCTCAGTGAGCGAGACAGTATAGACAGAAAGCTTCACTGACGAAAGATCACTTGATCGACTTTTTAATTAGTGTGTTTATCAATTACCTTTATCGTGTTGTTGTGTTCATTAACCTACTTAGGTGCTGGGGGGACGGTGCTTGCTTGTTTGCGTACCTGCTGTTTAAAGGAGAGCTAATGTTTTGTCTAACTTTTTACGACGTGATCCCAGGTCATGGCGGCGCCATTATAACAAGACGCGTAGTTTTTTTTTCTAAATGTGTTTACATTTAAAAACAGATACTTTAAAGAAAATAAATTGTGTTTCAAACGAGTTTTAATGAACGATTGCGATGGACATTGTTGCTATTCATGGTGTATCGTTGCTTTATGCTTATTTTTTTTTAATTCGTGTGCTTGGAACTTATACTCATCTGATAACTCAATGATATACTTCAACGATTTTACTTATTTACTCTTTTGCAGTATTCGTATATTTATTGAATATAACCATACTGTTGTGGCTGCATTCGTGTAGATATGGAAACAGTTGCAGCACCCTTTATCAAAACATACGTCAAAATATATAGACATAGAAAATGACGTACGAAGCCTTCATATGCTTAAGGAAGAATAACTGTTATGAGTTAACTGAATTAAGTTATGTATATGTTGATAAATTGTATAGTTCCCCTCAGTTGATCGTAACGAGTGTGAAGGAAGATGCCGATTATAAGGGTTGAATTGCACAACATTGGCTTGTGAAGGAGACCAGTGAGGCTGTTTCATCTGTTTCATGTTTGCATGTATGAATAAAGATTCAGAGTGACAAAACACTCTCCACAAGACTGTATGACAAGAGGGATGACTTCCAATTGCCAACTTTCCCTTCACGTCGAGCAATATTCCTGCACCTCTAGTCTCGGTGTCTACTTTTGAAGTGCAGACGAGCATGCTCTTTCTATCAATATTTGGAAAAGTAACATACAACTCTTGCTCAAAAGATGTTTGATTAAGATTATATCGTGTGTTTGTTGTTTAACGCCGCAGTCAGCAATATTCCAGCTATACGACGGCGGTCTGTACATAATTCAGTCTGGACCAGACAATCCAGTGACTGATATCATGAGCATTGATCCACGCAATTGGGTTACGATGACATGCATCAACCAAGTCAGCGAGCCTGACCACCCGATCCTGTTAATCGCCCCGTACGACAAGCAGAACAAAGTTACAACATTCAAGGCCTCAGTTGTTGTTGCATTAGGTGTTTAAGAGGTCGCCTTCTGCCTAGGCAATTTCGGCTGACCTGTCCCTCTTTGGGACTCCTGTGTGTGAGAAGGGTTCACATATCTATTGTGAGTTCGGTGTTCACATAATTTCTGTTTTTGCATTGATATGATTTCTATTTTCTTTTATTGACATGATTTCATTTTTATCCTTGGCTGCTCTGTTTATATACGTTCGAGCAGCTGTCCATCTCTCAGAAATAGAGTTAGTTTGGCCTTCGCTATTGCATCTCTTGGCTTTAGGAGATCTATGACAGATAGCGGATCTAACTGCAATTCTTGTTTTAACCTAGCCCGGGCTGGGGCATGGTCTTGACATTCTAGTAACAGGGCCTCAGTAAAGCTTCCAAAGGTTTTATAGTAGACATGTAGGGGACATTTCCAAATATGACGCAACACTGACCAAAATTATGTCCGTTCCCTATCTTGACTTGTCCTATATGTTCCTGTGTGGGGTGTTTTCATGTGAATAATTGACCTGTCTACGCGTGTGTTTGTGACAGGTGCCACCGGTGGGCAGGATACGCTCACCATTTCGATAACACCAGGTATCATCACTGTTTTGTTGTGATTCATAAACACATCTCATGATGATGTCAGAATCGTACACTAGACTCTGCTTTCAGAGAGATTTCTTCTCATTATGGAAATGGTTCTGTCGCTTTGAGTCACCTACACGTGTTATACACCTTGCAATAGTTAACGCTTCCTAGTCACTGCAAAATACAAAAAGGTCTATTCTGTTACGAATATTGAAGACCAGCTGCTGCATCAGGAATCAAGAAACATATATAACGTGTCATACATATATTATACATGTCTCCCGTCAGTATATAACCTGGTATATGTTACGTCATAAACACAATCTGGCAGAGATTTCTTATGAATAAGGAAATGGCTCTGTCGCATTCGTTTATAGATTGTATGGCATGCTAAATCTTGATCTATTCCCGCACTTTAAGTGTTATTTCCATACCTAAGTTGCACTTTTTCATGTCGAAAAAAATAAATTGTTCCCCAAAATAATAACGGTTCGGACTGTTGAAGAAAAAAATGCATGCCATAAAAATTTCATTGCTGGTGTTTATCTTTAAAAAAATCAGGCTCTTAGTTTTAAATAAAACATGTGGTTTTGTAGCTGTAGCTGAGCAATATCTAATCTCAATAAAAATCCCGGGTCAGAAGTGGTCCCCAGTATCTCATGCTTGTCGTAAGGGGCGACGCTATCGGGGACAGAAGGGCCAGGTCCTTGCTCGGATCTGTCAGTGTATACCGAGGGTGTTGATCGTTGTTCATGCTGTCAGTCACTGGTTTGTCTGGTCAGACACGATTACTTACAGGCCATTGGATATAGTTGGAATATTGATTATGGCCTTAATTCACTCTTTTCCACACGTGTAACGAAAGGTAAAGAATTATTTTGTTAAAGTAACATCTTAACACGTGAAGAGGTATTCATAAAGGCCGGGACTGCTGGTCAATCCGCTTTCTCACAGTGATAGCATAAGTTTTGTAATGTTATTCCATCAGTTCTTTTTATGTCATATTGTCAGACAAACAATTCACTCAGTAAAAAGACTTTGGCCCAAAATATATATATCTGTCAGAGCAAAAATAACATGCCCAAAAGATTAATATACAGTAATAATAATAATAATAATAATAATAATCATCATCATCATCATAATCTTCTTCTTTTCTTCTTCTTCTTCTTCTTCTTTAACTCTAAAAGTGGCGTAAATCCCATGACAATCCCCTACTTACTGTTCTGTATCAAGATCGAATTGACCATTATTTAAACCAGATTATTGCCAAGCTTGGTCTATGTATCCTTCGTACGAATTACACGTGAGAATCCCTCATGTAAAAGTTTCCCTGCAACCTATGCATCCTACCCCTACGTGGATCGATGCTCACAATATCGATCACCGGATTTTCTGGTCCAAACTCGAATATAGCTGGCGGCGTTAAACAAAAACCCAACAAACACGACTTCTAAATGGACAACTACAAAAGCCAGCACAACCACGTACGACTACCGCTTCTGCGTGAGGGGAATCCTGTGACCGGGGGTTCGAATCCCGATTTCCCCTGATAATGTTTCTAGCTTTGTCAGTACCATGCGTCCTAATATAACTCAAAAACTGTCCATTGCTAACATGTCAACCTGTATTGATGCTATTGTTTCTGTTAATGATACTCTCCATATTCTAGCTCCACGCTAGTCATTTATATCACCAAAATTAATAGGCGGTCTGTAATTCCAATGTGTGTTTTCCGAATGATTTGAAATGATACTTCCTTCCATTTTTTTAATAATCCATTGCGCAGAAAATTATTACTTTCATGATTAACAGCGATCGGTTTCCGACTCCACAAATGTTAGCTAAATAAATGTTCCAGACAAAAGTCTCCACGCAGCAGACAAGTTTCCATGCTCGTCTCTTCAGGTTCTGTTTGACCTATGCTCGAGACAGGAGGTTAATTAGCAATGAAAATAATTAACCAAAAACAATAGGTCTTAATCCGTCTCCTCTATACCGATTTATTCTTTTCGCTGTTAATTAGAGTTCTCGTTTTGAAGATCCCAGAAAGCCATCAACAGTCGAAAACT